TTTCTCCCTCCCTTCTCCTCTCTCTAAAGAAAAAATGAGTAAAATCTAAAAAAACCAAAACCAAAACCAAAAACCCAGAAGTCCCCCTGCTTTCTGATTGGTTTATCTTCATGCAAATGAGGACTCCACATCCCTGTAGTTCGATTGATCCCAAAGGCGCTGTCGTGATTGATCAGAATGGAGTTGCTCTGATTGGTCAGAGCTGTGCAGCTGTGGTCAGATGGGGACGCCTCGGTCCTACTGGTTGAAATAGGACCCCAGGAACCCCCTTATAAGGGCTGTTCAGCCGGCAGGAACCCGGCGCAGGCAGGCAGTCCAGTGCCCGAGACGCTGTGAAGTGCGGTTTGTGAGAGAGTCCCCGTGCAGAAATGGCTGCTAGGTCCTGCTCCCCCCGCCATCCCGCCCCATTTAGCAACCAGGAGCTTTTCTTTGTAGGTCTTTCTTTTTATTTTTTTTCAACATTCGTACAGGCAAGTTACCTGTGTCACCTCAGTCATGTCACTCACCTACCTCAGGCAGAGGGTAAATTCTCACAGAAGGGAGGTCATTCACGCTGCTCAGGTGGGCTCAGGTGAGCTCAGGTGAGCTCAGGGCATGGGACTCTCTGATGACGGGTCTTTGGAGGGAAGGGAGCGCAGGGAACCATGCAGCCTCCGGCCTGCCAGGCCTCGGCGTGACCCTGACGTTCATGGCCGGCTCCCTTGGTGCTCAGGAGGCCTGTGGGGCTCTTCCCTGGGTCACCTGCAGTGCCCACGGGTCCCGCCTCCCGAGGTCCCCCTCAGTCCTCTCCGTCTCCTCGGCCGACTCGCTCCCCTCGGGCCACCCCTGCTTCCCTGACGCAGCCTGGGCCGCCGCCTCCTCCCAGTGTTTTCTTCACTTCCACGTGTTTCTCCTCGTGTCCGTGTGTCTGTGGGCTAGTCCGCTGTGTGCAGGGTCCTGGGCCACACGGTCCGCATCACGCCAACCCGCGCTCAGCGGCAGCTGGTGGCCGAGTTTCAGGAAGGGGCTGGGTCCAGGACTGCCTTGCACGGGGGCTCCGTCAGAAGGTGCAGGAGCCCTGACAGTGGTGCTCCAGGGCGTACACGACCACAGCCCATGCCCGTGGGGGTGAGTGGGGGCGCCCCAGCCTCCTCCCCATCACCTGCTCAGATTCGCGTGGATATCAGCTAGTGTTCCCCAGAGAGACAGAACCAGTTTCTTTATCTTCAGGAATTGGCTCATGTGACTCTGGAGCCTTGGCAAGCCCAAAACACCCCTGAGGGGGTGGACCGCAGGCTGGACACTCAAGGAAGAGCCGATGTTGTGTTTCAAGTCCAGGGGCCAGTTGCTGGCAGACTCCCTCCTGCGCCGTGCGGTCAGCCTTTGTTCCCGCCAGGCCTTCAACTGATTGGACGGGGCCCAAGCACATTGTGGAGGGTAATCTGATGTACTCAAAGGTCACTGATATAAAGGTCAACCTCATCCAAAATACACTCGCACGGAAACCTCCGGAAGGATGTCTGATGAAATACCTGGGCGTGTAGCCCAGCCGAGTGGACACAGAAGATTAACCATCACAAGGCGTCTCTTGGGTTTACGTGTTCTCTGTCATTCGATGGCCCCCCCCCCCGCCCAAAGCTGCGCTCTCCTTTACCCTCACGTGTGGGTCTCCAGCAACGCAAAGCCCCGAGACGGACAGCGTTTGAGGTCTTCTGGGAACGCCAGTCATGCCCTGGTGCTCTGCAGTCCCGGGGGCTCTGGTCTCAAGTCTGGGCGCCGGCGCCCTATTCACGCTCGGCGACTTCGCCGCATTAGGAGAGCATTCCGCTCTCACAAGCCCTGGGTACTGAACACTGGGAGGAGCGACACTTCTCTCACGGGCTTGCGATCACGCACAGGGGAAGTGGTGAAGCACGGTGGGGTGCAGGGGCGCCCCTGTGTTCATTCAGGCTTGTTGGCCTCAGGGGCGTCACGGGGCAGCCTGCAGCCTGTGCCTTTGCTGCGGCCTCTGCCCCGCCCACTCATCCCGGGGTCCAGGGCGCCCTGCAGGCCATCATTGTTGGGAACCGCCCTGACTGGTATCAGAAGCTGAAACCCCCACCTAGGCTAAGGCTAAGGGAACGCCCTTGGAACTGTAAGCCAGCAAGGAGACAAAAGCTTATCTTTCTGGCAGGAATGCTGCTTCTGCTGCTTTATTCATGACTGAACCCCCAAAAAGCTTGGTCGGTTAGCCAAAGACGGGTAAGATTCCCCACGGGGGAACGACCTAAGGCAGGCACGATCACTTTTGGGAGGCCCCCCAAAAAGAAGGACTTGGGGGGGCTGCAGCAAAAGGGGGTGATGGACCCTCGCTCCTCGGCTTTGACAAAGTCTGAGTTCTCAGCGTCTGGAAGAAAATCTCCTTATCTCTTGGTTACCTAGTTCCCTTGCTCCACCTAAGCCTGAAACAATGACAGGGTGGTGCAGCTCGGTACTGAGAAGTGCGGATTCCCCGGGGTGATCAGGCCTAAGAAAGAACATGTAAATTACTGTGAAACCTTCTTTGTTTAGAATGCTCTCAGTTGAATGAGAAGGGTCTTAGGAGGAAGTTATTTTGTTCCTCAGTCTTACAGCTCTTTGACCCCCAACTCAATAGACCGGCAGAGTTCTTTGTTTTCTATGGTTCCTTACTTCCCCCTAATGAGTACTGTACTTTACCTGAATTATTATGCAGAATGAGCCTAATAAAAGCAGGTATGGATGGTAAATCGGCGCTCCCCACTAGGGGGGGTGGCCATTTCGTCCCTACTTCCCCACAGAAACTGGTCTGTCTCTGTGCATGTTGTTATTTCTCGCGTGTTTATCGTCGAGCCATCCACAGCGTTCCGTGGTCACTGCTGGCTGGGGACCCACGCGCAACACATCATCCCCTGCAGCTGTGGCTGGCAGGCGCGTGGAGACCAGCGCCACTGTCTCCTCTGTTTCTGTTCCCAGGGTGCCCCGGGGTTGCGGGGCTGACGTGGGCTCCATCAGTGGTCTGGGTTCAGGCCCCGGCGAGCAGGAAGGGGCACGTGCTCGATGGCCCTCCTGAGCAGAGACCCAGAGGAGAGGGCTGCAGCAAAGATGCCCCAACGGCCCAGCCCGAGTGCAGCAGGTCTGTGGTGACGGGCGTGTCCTGCCAGGCAAAGCAGAGCCATTGTGGACCTCAAGTTCACGGTGCACTTCAGAGTGTTACGTACCTCCCGGAAGTACCAGGTGACCGGGCAAACGCAGGTCCTCTCTACTCCCTCCTCCCCGTTTGGTCTGGTTACTTATTCACTTTTCAGTCCTAGACCTAACGACTGTTCGCAAAGCTGACACTTGGTGCTGCCGGTTTTTCACCGAAGTGTAGCTGGGGTAGCGTGGGAAGCCCAGACCCCGAGTGTCCACTTGGACGAGTACTGACGAACACGGTCAGCTGAGGAGCCCACGTCCCCATCGGGGTGTGGGACGCTCCCTCCAGCCCCAGGGTTACCTGTTCCCCTCCCCACTCCCCCAGCCGTTCCCGCCCCCCACCCCGGCACAGCCCTGCTCAGTCTGGGGGGTGAGGTCTCGGCAGGGTCCTAGCAGGGGAAGGACCCGGGCTTTGCATTCCCACAGTTCAGCTCACACGGCTTTCCGCTGTAGTTTGTTTCAAAGGCATATTCCCCGGGTGCTCCGGCTGAACCGGGGGTGCTAGGCCGCTGGAGGATACGGTACTTTGCTCCTGATCCTCACAGGGTGAGGGGACCGGGCCAGCGACCGCGCTGGTGCTTGCCCAGAGCAGGGGCTCGACAACTTGTGCTGAGTCAGTGCCCACAGAGTCATAGAGAAGGACCAAGGGGTGTCATCGAGTGGGTCAGAGTGTACATGTCGCCTCTCTGGGGGCGCGAGCCGGGGCCCCGGCGTCTCCTGGACGGCACACTGGAGTGTGGCGGTGCTGAGCCCAGGTGGGGGGCGGGTGTGGGCCCTGGCAGTGAGTAGGGCAATGTGTAGGCTCCCGTGAGGCGGCCGCCGCTGTGGAAGGTGGAACGAAGGAGGAACGTGCGCCCCCCACGCACATTTGAAATGGACTGTGATCACCCCGTTTTCTCCTTTCTGTGTCTGACGCTTGGGCAGCTGGCCTTGCTGACTGTGGAGGGGACTGACCCTCCCGGGGTCAGTAGTAAACAAGACAGTAAGCAAGGCTTTGCTTTCCCGTTGTGACAAAAGGCAGGTCTGTGGCTCTATGTTCAGCAGCAGAGGGAAACCAGAGACCGGGCCCCTGTGCTGTGCACCCAGCCCAGCTCTGCGGAGTGGCCCTCTCGTCTCCCGAGCCCGATGAGTCTGACTCAGCCGCCAGCAATAAGCGGGAAGGCGGGGACTCTGCTCAACACGCAGGACGTTTGAGCCTACGGTCAAACCGACTGACTGAGGGATAGACCCAAGTCCCAATAGACCGGTGTCCATTCTTGGAGGTTTGATGAAATTTCACAAAAAGACTGGCCTTTTCTCAGGGGTCACTAAAACTACAGCTAGGCGAGCCCAGGGCTGCCAGCCCTGCCACACGGGGTGAGCATGAACAGACCAGACACGGGCACTAACCCAGCAGAGTTAAAACGTGGAGGGAATAGGAGACATATTGGATGTGTCCTTTGAGCTTTTGACTCGTACTGAGCCCGAGTGTAGGGTCACAGGTGGGAGTCTGCATTTTGAAAGAAGACGTGGGTTGTTGCTTTGGCCTCGGCAGAGTCCTGACGTGTCAAACTTCAGAGCAGCTCCAGGGCAGAGACCTGGCAATGCCGCGAGGGCTGCACTGGGGACGTGAAAGGAATGAGCCCCAAGGTACCAGGAGCAAGAGCTCCTTTCCCCGGGTCTTCAAGGGAAACGCACAACGCGGTTCTGCGCCCTCCACCGCCGGCCGGAGCAGCGTGCTCAGGGAAAACCATAGCGGGTGCAGCTCCTACAGGATGTTCGGGGCAGAACTCTCTGGAAAGGAAACCACACAAATACAAAGACGCAAAGGAAAAACGCCCAAGCACGAGTTGAGTGCTTCAGGTGTATTGCGGGGAGACAACGGAGCAAAATGCGGGTGCGAACATTAGGCGCCCGTCCAGGTCGTCGGTGGGATCTGGTCGTGCTCGGGGTCTCGGGCCACAGGGCTCACTTACAGCAGAGCTTGTATCGGTGGCCATAGGCCTTACACCTTCCAGAGGGACGCTCAGAAAACTTGCTGAAGATGGTAAGTCTGCACTTGACTCGGCAGTAGCAGACCTCTCTGGCTGCTCTCTGAAGGCCTGTGGGGGGAAGGGCAGGGTCAGGCTCGGCGGGGAGGGGACAGGGCGGAGGCTCAGCCAGCCTGAGGGGGGCCTTCTGACAGGCGGCAGGCCCACTCACTGCAGACAGTGTCTGCCTGGTCGGGGTTGGGGATCCACGAGTCCGTCACAAACCACAAGTGATCTCACTGGCTCCGTGTGGTCATGCAGGATCGAGATTTTTGTGTGATCCTGATCTATGACTCATGTGCTTATCTCCTGTGTCTTATCCCTCAAGCTCCTCCTGAACTTGGGGTACTTATTCCTCCCGCCACTCAGGTGAGACTCCATTCTGAGCCTCGACTCCATGTCCATTCCAACAAGCCCCTGCAATGTGCTGCCACCCCAGCTGCATGTGGGCAGGTGTCTCACCTGCAGCCCCTTGAGGGGAGCGTTCCCCTCCAGTGAAGGAGACGGCCACGTCCTGGTCCTCATCCTCGGGCTGGTCCTGGTCCTCAACCTCAGGCTGGCCCTGGGCGGGAACCTGGTCAGCGGTCTCTTGCAGGGTCTCAGCCCGGGCCTGGAAGGCCAGGAGGAGAAGGGCAGTGAGGAGAGTGAGGGTCCTCATGGCTGAGGGTCCCTGGATGTCCGGGTTGTGTGGGAGGAAAGAATGGAGTAGTGAGGAGGGTCCAGGCAGCCTGTACTTATAGGTGGGATGGGAGGAGGGTTGGAGACTCCTGGGCAGGGAGAGGGAGAGGCTGTGCCTGTGGCTGGCTTGGGGCCAAGGCGGCCGTCACCCTCAAAGCCCCTTTGATGCTCCTGCTCCTGCCCCTTCATCAGAACACATGTGTGCATGAGCTGAGTGTCCACACTTGTTTCAAGTTGATAGTGGTGATAAGGGCCCTGGTGTGGTGTCTGTTTCCCAGCTGCCTGGGTGTTTACCTTGTGATGGTCACAGAGGACAAGGGGCGGGGCCTCACTGAGTGCATCAGGGACAAAGGCCCCTTCTCTCTGCTGCGGGGCCCTGCTCATCTGAGGCCCGACCCGGGGCCCACACAGTCCTATGCAGCGGCGGGAGGGGGGGTGTCCACTTGCAGGTTCAGGGGCATCAGTGCGCAGTGAGGGAGACTTGCAGATCCTGGGTGCTGGCTCCTGTGGGGGAGGGGACAGTGACTTGGGCTCAGGCGAGGTAGGACCGAGGGAAGGAGCTGGTCAAACCAGAGTGAAGGACAGTCTTGTTTCAGGACGTCAGTGTGACATGTGCACATTGTGTACCCCGTTCAGCAGTCACTTGTGTCCTCGTGGGGAAGCAGCAAACATGACCACCTTCCTGCAGCCCCTTCCGAAATTGGTCACCGTTTACAATAGAAACAGTTTAGTCATGCACAAAGGACAAAACTCAAAATGTAGCAGACAGAAGAGTGGAAACCCCAGTCTCCCCCTGTCCCAACCCCCCATCTTTCCTGCAGGACCCACCAGCTCCACCCCCCCCCCCCCCATGTCCTGTGTTTGCTCACTCAGCCCGGGCTTCATCTCGAACACGATCACACCAGCACGTGCAGAACGGCCTCACTGTTTTTGCAGTGTTCTACATCTCAGTGTTTTCTATGTCATCGTTTTAGTATGTTCTCATCAAGAAAACATCATTAAACTGTGACAATTTGGTTATTATTAATGTGTGCAGTTATAATCATAAATGTACTGAGTATTGTTTTACCCACATCACCTTGCTTACTTGTGAGTGTGTTTCAAACAGATTTCTAGAATTAGATTGTGGGGACGAAGACCTCAGTTTATATATTTAACGAACCCTAATTTATTATTCTCTGCAGTTGCTGTTCTCACATCACTCACTGCAATATGTGAGCCTGCTGCGTCTCACGCACAGTGGAAGGTGTTAAAATATCCCATGATTATCCCCAATTCCGTCACCTTTCCTTCCTGCTTATGACCCTGGCACGGATTCATTATGTGGTGATAACACTTGATGTCCCAGAGTCTCTTGCAGCTGAGAGTGGCCAATGAATGGAGTTCCGATAAACCTGGGAAGGGCACCACAGTTAGACAGTTAAATCAATGACTGCCCCCCCTCACATTTGTGCTACATAATTGTTTCACATTTGCCTCCCCATTTTTGCCTGGAGGATGGGAGCAGTTCAAATGTGCGGCTGTACTGTGACTGTGAAGAGAACAGTGACTCGATGTGGACGGTGGATGAGGAAGATGCGAGATGCCTGCCCTTGAGGTCAAGGCTGAGCCATGTCACCCGCCTCCTGGGCTGCCTGCGTTCAGATGCTGTGATGTGGGGAGAACACACTCTTGACTTTGTACAGCCACTGGTGGCCGGGGCCCTGGTCCGGGTGGTGGCTGGAAGCAGTCTGAGCCCTGGACTGGGAGGGTTTGGGTCTTTCCCAACCTGACAGGTAAGCACTGAGCCCCAGTGGAGTCCTGACTCTGTTTCTCTCAGGTGTCAGGGCAACGTGTGTTCATCGCTGTCATGTACTTGTATTTATTCTCTCCGACTGTCCTTTCCCTTTGGAATCTGCTTTGGGAAGTAGAAAGTTGGCTGATTCATTTCTGTGGAGTTTTAGATTTATACTTAAATTCATAAAAGTTGCTCCTTTTCCCAAGTACTGCAAATCATTTGGAGTTTGTAATTTCTCTTTTTGTCTCTTGTCTACACAGAGACAGGGGTTTTATGTAATTTTTAAAACATGTTTTGCTAATTTCTGAGTTTTGTGTCTCCTTTGTGAAAGTTTGTAAATCTCTGTCCTATTTGTGTTAGAGCTTTGGTGTCCTGGATGTGCAAGTAGAGTGGGACCAAGGAGATTGATCATAAAGGAGTAAACTAAAACTGTTCTGAATCTTCAGTCTTGTAAGAGTAAAAAGTTCTCAAAATAGAGGTGGCCACAGGGCAAAGGTAAATTCAAAGGTGCCAAGAGTACAGCATAGTTTCAGGGTAGAACTCGGGGTCATGGCTGTATGGATGCAGGCGGCCCCCGTGGATGTGGGAGGGGGAGGGGGGAGAGATGCCTGTGTTCTGGAAACCAGGCCCCCGTGCCTCTCAGCTGGTACACAGCAGCCTGCCTTTCAGCCCAGGATGGAGGACCTGTCCTTGGCATCATGAAAAGCCTATCTCTTTTTTTAAATTTATTTTTTTATTGTTGTTGAAGTACAGTTGTCACCATTTTCACATGACCACGTGTCCCACCCATCCCTGCCTCCCACCCTGGAACCTACCCCCTTTGGCTTTGTCCATGTGTCCTTTATAGATGTTCGTGGATGGCCCTTCCTCTATTTCCCTCCATTATCCCTCTCCTCCCTCTCTTGTGGTTACTATCAGTTTGTTCTTTATTTCAGTGCCTTTGGTTATATTTTACTTGCTTGTTTGTTTTGTTGATTAGGTTGCACTCATAGATGAGATCATATGGTATCTGTCTTCTACCACCTGGCTTAATTCGCTTAGCATAATGCTGTCCAGATCCATCCATGCTGCTGTGAAGGGTAGGAGCTCCTTCCTTCTTTCTGCTGCATAGAATATTTCTTGGTAGAATATTCTTAAAATCAGTACAGGTTTATTATAACTAGTAGGCCTAATTTCTTTAAAGAGAGAGAAACTTGAGACCAAATCTTTCACTGGACATGGGTTTAAAGTACCTTTGGGGTTAAAAGGGGGAGCATCTACTGCACGGGTCATCGGGCATGATGACCCTATACCTACTGGCTTCTCACCTCCCCTTTTCTCTGGTCATGATTTGAGACCACCAGTGCTGGTCAGAGTGGTCTCATCCTCCTCACCCACATACTCCACTTTTGAGCCCAGAGTCCACACAGCCTCCAAAAAGGCCCTCTAATGGGTGTAGACCCCAATTCATTTGGGAGTAGTACTTCCTTTTCTCTGTTAGTGGAGCAGTGAAGGATCAGTTCATCTTATCTTGCTGATCCAGGTAGGAGAAATACATATGTAACTGAAACCCCTGCTTATCATGATAAACTATCAATACTTATGGATGCCCACCTATATCTTAAATTTAAAGAACAAGTATTATAGTCCATCAGATCCACCTTTCCTGGGAGCAAGAGAACATTTCTACACTCCATAGAAACCTCTCTCTTTTTAGTTTCATTAGGAATGGATTAGATTTTGCAGGTGAAAATCATCTTAATTAAGAATTATGTTCATTTTTGCTTGCTTGTTGTTACCCTATGCTGGTCAAATGTGGGATGCAAAGGCTGCTCACCTTAGTGTAAACCATTCGGGACAGAACTCCCTGTACAACTCAACCGCACAAATAGCCCTCATCAGAAAACAAGCAAACGCAAACAGCGAGTTTAATGCCTGGGTTTATTTTGGAGCTAGAAGATGAAAAGGTAGAGGTACAAAGATTATTGCTTGTCTAGGTCTTCATTGGAATCCCTTGGTGCTTTGGGGTCTCAGTCCAAAAAGCTCATTTACAGCAAAGCTTGTACCGACGGCCGAAGATTTTACAAACCCCAGAGGCACGCTCCAGCACCTTGTTGACCTTGTTGCGTCGGCACCGGCGTCGTCGTCGGCACCGGCATCGCGTTACTACAGCCTTTGCTATGGTCATTCCTAGCTCACCTCCTGCAGAGGGAAGAGAAGGGGCAGGCTGAAGGGGCACGCAGACTGGAAGGAGAGGCTCAGCCAGCCTCATGGAGACCTGCTGAGAGGCAACAAGTCTACTTAACACAGACAGTCCCTGCCCGGGTCGGGTGAAAGGATTCAGTGTTTGTCGTGAATCCCAAGCACTCTTACTGGCTCTGAGTGCTCATGCAGGATGATGGTGTTCCCTGATCCTAGTGATCAAACACGTGCTTATATCCTGTGCCTTGTCCCAAACATCTTCCATGTTTGGGGGTATGTTCCTCTCATCCTCCTCATCCACATACTCCATTTTTGAGCCCAGACTCCACGCAGCCTCCAAAAAGCCCTTCTAATGGGTGTAGACCCCAGTAAAATGTGGGTGGTTGTCTCACCTGTAAGTTGTCGAGAGAAGCGTTCCTCTCCTGTGAAGGAGACGGCCACATCCTGGTCCTCATCCCCAAATAGGTCCAGGTCGTCCTCCCCAGGCTGGTCCTGGGCGGGAACCTTGTCAGCTGTCTCTTGCAGGGTCTCAGCGTGGGCCTGGAAGGCCAAGAGGAGAAGGGCAGCGAGGAGAGTGAGGGTCCTCATGGCTGAGGGTCCCTGGAAGTTAGGGTTGGGTGGGAGGAAAGAACGGAATAGTGGGGAGGGCCCAGGCAGCCTGTACTTATAGGTGGGATGGGAGGAGTCTTGGAGACTCCCAGGCAGGGAGAGGGAGAGGCTGTGCCTGTGGCTGGCCTGGGGCCAAGGTGGCCATGGCCCTCAAAGCCCCTTTGATGCTCCTGCTCCTGCCCCTTCATCAGAACACAGGTGTGACAGCTGAGTGTCCACACTTGTTTCAAGTTGACAGTGGAGATAAGGGCCCTGGTGTGGTGTCTGTTTCCCAGCTGCCTGGGTGTTTACCTTGTGACGGTCACACAGGACAAGGAGCGGGGCCTCACTGAGTGCATCAGGGACAAAGGCCCCTTCTCTCTGCTGCTGGGCCCTGAACATCTGAGGCCCGACCCGGGGCCCACACAGTCCTATGCAGCGGCGGTGGTGGTGGGGGGGATGTCCACTTGCAGGTTCAGGGGCATCAGTGCGCAGTGAGGGAGACTTGCAGATCCTGGGTGCTGGCTCCTGTGGGGGAGGGGACAGTGACTTGGGCTCAGGCGAGGTAGGACCGAGGGAAGGAGCTGGTCAAACCAGAGTGAAGGACAGTCTTGTTTCAGGACGTCAGTGTGACATGTGCACATTGTGTACCCCGTTCAGCAGTCACTTGTGTCCTTGTGGGGAAGCAGCAAACATGACCACCTTCCTGCAGCCCCTTCCGAAATTGGTCACCGTTTACAATAGAAACAGTTTAGTCATGCACAAAGGACAAAACTCAAAATGTAGCAGACAGAAGAGTGGAAACCCCAGTCTCCCGCTGTCCCAGCCCCCCATCTTTTCTGCAGGACCCACCAGCTCCCCGCCCCCCCGCCATGTCCTGTGTTTGCTCACTCAGCCCAGGCTTCATCTCGAACACGATCACACCAGCACGTGCAGAACGGCCTCACTGTTTTTGCAGTGTTCTACATCTCAGTGTTTTCTATGTCATCATTTAACTATGTTCTCATCAAGAAAACATCATTAAACTGTGACAATTTGGTTATTATTAATGTGTGCAGTTACAATCATAAATGTACTGAGTATTGTTTTACCCACATCACCTTGCTTACTTGTGAGTGTGTTTCAAACAGATTTCTAGAATTAGATTGTGGGGACGAAGACCGCGTTTTGTATATTTAACGAACCCTAATTTATTATTCTCTGCAGTTGCTGTTCTCACATCACTCACTGCAATATGTGAGCCTGCTGCGTCTCACGCACAGTGGAAGGTGTTAAAATATCCCATGATTATCCCCAATTCCGTCATCCTTCCTTCCTGCTTATGACCCTGGCACGGATTCATTATGTGGTGATAACACTTGATGTCCCAGAGTCTCTTGCAGCTGAGAGTGGCCAATGAATGGAGTTCCGATAAGCCTGGGAAGGGCACCACAGTTAGACAGTTAAATCAATGACTGCCCCCCCCTCACATTTGTGCTACATAATTGTTTCACATTTGCCTCCCCATTTTTGCCTGGAGGATGGGAGCAGTTCAAATGTGCGGCTGTACTGTGACTGTGAAGAGAACAGTGACTCGATGTGGACGGTGGATGAGGAAGATGCGAGATGCCTGCCCTTGAGGTCAAGGCTGAGCCATGTCACCCGCCTCCTGGGCTGCCTGCGTTCAGATGCTGTGATGTGGGGGAGAACACACTCTTGACTTTGTACAGCCACTGGTGGCCGGGGCCCTGGTCCGGGTGGTGGCTGGAAGCAGTCTGAGCCCTGGACTGGGAGGGTTTGGGTCTTTCCCAACCTGACAGGTAAGCACTGAGCCCCAGTGGAGTCCTGACTCTGTTTCTCTCAGGTGTCAGGGCAACGTGTGTTCATCGCTGTCATGTACTTGTATTTATTCTCTCCGACTGTCCTTTCCCTTTGGAATCTGCTTTGGGAAGTAGAAAGTTGGCTGATTCATTTCTGTGGAGTTTTAGATTTATACTTAAATTCATAAAAGTTGCTCCTTTTCCCAAGTACTGCAAATCATTTCTAGAGTTTGTAATTTCTCTTTTTGTCTCTTGTCTACACAGAGACTTTGGAGTTTTATGTAATTTTTAAAACTTTTTTCTTGTAATTACTCAGTGTTGTGTCTTTCCCACTGAAGTTTGTAACGCTCTGTCTTCCATGTGCTAGAGCTTTGGTGTCCTGGATGTGGAAGTGGAGTGGGGCCCAGGGAGATTGATCATAAAGGAGTAAAATAAAACTGTTCTGAATCTTCAGTCTTCTCAGGGTAAAAAGCTCTCAAAACAGAGGTGGCCACAGGGCAAAGGTAAATTCAAAGGTGCCAAGAGTACAGCACAGTTTCAGGGTAGAACTCGGGGTCATGGCTGTATGGATGCGGGCGGCCCCCGTGGATGTGGGAGGGGGAGGGGAGAGAGATGCCTGTGTTCTGGAAACCAGGCCCCCGTGCCTCTCAGCTGGTACACAGCAGCCTGCCTTTCAGCCCAGGATGGAGGACCTGTCCTTGGCATCATGAAAAGCCTATCTCTTTTTTTAAATTTATTTTTTTATTGTTGTTGAAGTACAGTTGTCACCATTTTCACATGACCACGTGTCCCTGCCCCACCCATCCCTGCCTCCTACCCTGGAACCTACCCCCTGTGGCTTTGTCCATGTGTCCTTTATAGATGTTCGTGGATGGCCCTTCCTCTATTTCCCTCCATTATCCCTCTCCTCCCTCCCCTGGGTTACTGTGAGTTCGTTCTTTATTTCAGTGCCTCTGGTTATATGTTGCTTGCTTGTTTGTTTTGTTGATTAGGTTGCACTCATAGGTGAGATCATATGGTATTTGTCTTTCACCACCTGGCTTAATTCACTTAGCATAATGCTGTCCAGATCCATCCATGCTGCTGTGAAGGGTAGGAGCTCCTTCCTTCTTTCTGCTGCATAGAATATTTCTTGGTAGAATATTCTTAAAATCAGTACAGGTTTATTATAACTAGTAGGCTCCATTTCTTTAAAGAGAGAGAAACTTGAGATCAAGTCTTTCATTGAGCATGGGTATAATCTACCTTTTGGGGTTTTAAGCGGGAGCATCTACTGCATAGGTCGTTGGGCATGATGACCCTATACCTACTGGCTTCTCACCTCCCCTTTTCTCTGCTCATGATTTGAGACCACCGGTGCTGGTCAGTGTATTCATTGGGAGTAGTTCTTCCTTTTCTCTGTTAGTGGCACAGTGAAGGATCAGGCCACCCTCTCTTGCTGATCCAGGTAGGAGAAATACATATGTAACTGAAACCCCTGCTTATCATGAGAAGCTATCAATACATATGGATGCCCACACATGTCTTAAATTTGAAGAACAAGTATTATACTCCATCAGATCCACCTTTCCTGGAGCAATAGAACATTTCTACACTCCATAGAAACCTCTCTCTTTTTAGTTTCATTAGGAATGGGTTAGATTTTGCAGGTGGAAATCATCTTATTTAAGAATTATGTTCGCTTTTGCTTGCTTGTTGTTGCCCTGTGTTGGTCAAATGTGGGATGCAAAGGCTGCTCACCTTAGTGTAGACCATTCGGGACAGAACTCCCTGTACAACTCAACCGCACAAATAGCCCTCTTGGGAAAAACAAAACAAAACAAATGCAAATAGTGAGTTTAATGCCTAGGTTTACTTCGGAGCTAGAAGAAGAAAAGGTAGAGGTACAAAGACTATTGCTTGTCTGGGTCTTCATTGGAATCCCTCGGTGCTTTGGGGTCTCGGTCCAGCAAGCTCATTTACAGCAAAGCTTGTACTCATGGCCAAAGGGTCTACAAGCCCTGGAAGCACGCTCCAGCACCTTGCTGACCTTGCTGTATGGTCACTGGTCCTGTGGTCGGCAGCGGCAGCCCTCCAAAGGGATCCTTATGGGGGTCTTTTCAACGATCCCTTTTAATACCTCTTTTACCTTCTGTATTTTCTTACGCAAATCAGGTGCTGCAGAGGGAGGAGAAGGGGCAGGCTGAAGGGGCACGCAGACTGGAAGGAGAGGCTCAGCCAGCCTCTTGGAGACCTGCTGAGAGGCAACAAGTCTACTTAACACAGACAGTCCCTGCCCGGGTCGGGTGAAAGGATTCAGTGTTTGTCGTGAATCCCAAGCACTCTTACTGGGTCTGAGTGCTCATGCAGGATGATGATGTTCCCTGATCCTAGTGATCAAACTCGTGCTTATATCCTGTGCCTTGTCCCAAACATCTTCCCTATTTGGGGGTACGTTCTTCTCACCCTCCTCACCCACATACTCCGTTTTTGAGCCCAGACTCCACACAGCCTCCAAAAAGCCCCTCTAATAGGTCAGACCCCAATAGGATGTGGGTGGGTGTCTCACGTAGTGGGCGTTTCCGTAGAAATTTTTTAAGGGAGCGTTCCTCTCTTGTGAAGGAGACGGCCACATCCTGGTCCTCATCCCCAAGTAGGTCCTGGTCCTTGACCCCAGGTTGGTCCTGGGCGGGAACCTGGTCAGCTGTCTCTTGCAGGGTCCCAGCCTGGGCCTGGAAGGCCAGGAGTAGAAGGGCAGCGAGGAGAGTGAGGGTCCTCATGGCTGAGGGTCCCTGGAAGTCCGGGTCCTGTGGGAGGAAAGAATGGAGTGGTGAGGAGGGCCCAGCATCCTGTACTTATAGGTGGGATGGGAGGAGTCTTGGAGAGTCCTGGGCAGTGAGAGGGAGAGGCTGTGCCTTTGGGTGGCCTGGGGCCAAGGCGGCCATCACCCTCAAAGCCCCTTTGATGCTCCTGCTCCTGCCCCTTCATCAGAGCAGGTGTGTGCATGAGCTGAGTGTCCACACTTGTTTCAAGTTGATAGTGGTGATAAGGACCCTCGTGTGGTTTCTGTTTCCCAGCTGTCTGGGTGTTTACCTTGTGATGGTCACAGAAGACAAGGAACCGTGCTCTTGGTGAGTGAGTCAGGGGACAAAGGCCCCGTCTTCCTGCTGCTGGGCCCTGTTCCCCTGAGACGTGACCCTGGGCACACACCTTCCCAAAGGGGTGGGGGGTCTCCCTGTATGTTCAGGGACATCAGTGCCTTGTGCAGAAGACCTTCAGGTCCTGGGTGGTGGTTCCTATGGGGGAGGGGACAGTGACTTGGGCTCAGGTGAGGTAGGACAGAGAGAAGGATCTAGTCAGAGTAAAGCCAAGGACAGGTTTGTTTCAGGATGACAGTGGGATGTGGGCACATTGCGTACCCCACTCAGCTGTCACTTGTGTCTTTGTCGGGAAATAGCAAACACAACCATGTGCCTGCAGCCCCTTCGGAAATTGGTCACCTTTTACCATAAAAAAGTTTAGTCATGTAAAATAGACAAAACTCAAAATGTAGCAGACAGAAGAGTGGAAACCCCAGTCTCCCGCTGTCCTAGCCCCCCCATCTTTTCTGCAGGAACCACCAGACCCCCCCACCCATGCCCTCTGTTTCCTCACTCAGCCCAGGCTTCATCTCGAACACGATCACACCGGCACGTACAGAGCGGCCTCACTGTTTCATAGCATCGTGCTGTCTCAGTACGATGACTGTCGTACTGATGACTGTCTTTATAGGTCGTCCTTCAACAAGGATTTTCATTGATAATACAAGGTTAAATTCTTCCAGTTTGGTCATTTTGAAACATTTGCAGTTACAAGCATAGCACAATAAGTATAATTTGGATATATCATCTTGCTCATAAATGACTATATATTTTATTTATTCATGTTTTGTTATTCTATTTCTTTTTCATGGCTATTTAGCCCTCTTCTACCCGCCTGCTCTGTGCAGTCACCTCACTGTTGTCCATGTCCTTGAGTCCTTTTCCCTCTTCCCTTGATCCTTCTCCTCACTAGACTGCCCTGCCCGTAGCTGTCAGCCTGCTCTCCATCTGTGAGTCTGTCTCTATTTTGCTGGTCAGTTCAGTTTGTTCATTAGATTGCACATGTGAGTGAAACCACGTGGTACCTGTCTTTCTCTGACCAGCTTATTTCACTCAGGATAGTGTCTTCTCGGTGTGTCCATGCTGTCGCAAATGGCGAGGTTCCCTTTTTTTTATGGCCAAGCAGTGTTTCACTGTGTACAATATTGTACCACAGCCTTTTTCTCCACTCCTCTACTGAGGGGCACTTGTGCGGTTCCCAAATATTGGTGATTGTAAATAACGCTGCAGTGAACATATGGGTGTTACATGTTTTCGGATTAGTGTTTTGGGTTTCTTTGGTTATATTCCCAGAAGGGAATCACTGGGTCAGAAGGCAGCTTCATTTCTAATTTTTGAGAACACTCCATACTGTTGTCTTCTCACTTTGTTTTAACTTTTCATTTTATTTTAGAGAGCGGGGAAGGAGGGAGGAGGAGAGGGAGAGAGAGATGGGTGTGAAGGAGGCACGTCAACTGAGTGCCTTCTGCCTTCCGACGGGGCTCTGGCGTGTGCAGAGCATAGACTCTGCAACCCAGGTGCGTGGCCTGACCGGGAATCAAACTGTTGACATTTTAGTTTGCGGGATGGCACCCAGCTAACTGAGCCACGCCAGCCAGGGCATCTGTACTGTTTTCCGTAGTGGCTGCACCAATCTGCGTCCCCACCAACAGTGCCCGAGAGTTCCCTTTTCTTCACATCCTCGCCAGCCCTTGTTTGTGGATTTATTGATGATAGCTATTCTGACAGGTGTGGGATGATATCTCCGTGGGGCTTTAATTTGCCTTTCTCTGACGATTCCAGGGACGCTGAGCATCTTTTCCTGTGTGTGTTGGCCATCTGTATGTCCTCTCTGGAGAAGTGTCTATTCAGGTCCTTTGTCCATTTTTAAATAGGATTGTGTATCTGTGTGTGTGTGTGTGTGTGTGTGTGTGTGTGTGTGTGTTGAGCTTTGTAAGTTCTTTATAAATTTTGGACCTTAACCCCTTATCAGATGTAGGATTGGCACATAAGGTCTCCCATGCAGTGGTCCTCTTTCCATTCTGTTGACTGACTACTTGCCGTGCAAAAACTTTTAGTTTGATGTAGTCCCATTTGTTTATTTTTTTCTTTTGATTCCCTTGCTTGAAGAGTTACATAAAAATATTACTATGAGAAATGTTTGAGATTTTACTGCTTATGTTTTCTTGTGGGATTTTTATTGTTTGGAGTCTAAGATTTAAGTCTTTAATCTCACATATGGTGTAAGAAGGTTGAGTCATGTCATTTTTTGCACGTGTCTGTTGAACTTTCCCAGCACCATTATTGAGTAAACTATATTTACCATGTTTTATATTTTCTGCCTTTTTTGTCAATTATTATTTGACCATTAGGATATGGGTTTATTTCTGAGGTCTCTATTCTGTTCTGTTGATGTCTATGTCTTTAGCCAGTACCAGGCAGTTTTGATTACTACGGCCTTGTAGTATAGTCTGATTCCACGTGGTGTTATTCCTCCCATTTTATTCTTTCTCAGGATGGCTCTTGCTATTTGGGTTGTTTTTGTGGTTCCATAAGTTTTTGAAATATTTGTTCTAGGTCAGTGAAATAAGCCATTGGTATATTGATGGGAATTGCATTGAATGTATGTATTGCTTTGGGTTGTGTGGACATTTTAATAATGTTAGTCCTTCCTATCCATGAACACGGTATACACACCCACTAATTTTTTGTTCTTCCATTTCTTTCTTCAGTGTCTTATAATTTTCTGCAGACAAGTGTTTTACATTCTGTGCTATATTTCTTCGTAGATCTTTTATTCTTTCTGAAGCGATTGTGAATGGGATTGTTTTCTTAGTTTCTCTTCTGATAGTTCATTATTGGTATATAGAAATGCAACTGATTTCTGAATATTTATTTTGTATCTTGCTACTTTTCTAAGTTCATTTATCAGTTCCTATATTTTTATGTGAAATCTTTAGGGTTCTATATATACAGTATCATGTCATCTGCAAATAATGAGAGCTTTACTTCTTCCTTTCCAATTTGTGTGCCTTTCATTTCCTCTTCTGTCTTATCACTGTGGCTAAGACTTCCAGTACTATATCGAGTAAGAGTGGTGAAAGCAGACACCCCTGTCTTGTTCCTAACTTAAGGGAAACACTTTTAGTTTTTGCCCATTGAGTATGATGTTGGGGGTGGGTTTGTCATGGCCTTTATTATATTGAGGTTTGTTCTCTCTATTTCCACTTGGCTGCAAATTTTTCCAATAAATGGTTGCTGGTTTTATCAAATGCTTTTTCTGAGTCTATTGATATGATCATGTGGTTTTAATGCTTCATTTTCTTTATGTGGTGTATCACACTTATTGACTTGCAGGTATTGTACCAATCTTGCATCCTTGAAATAAATCCCGCTTGATCACAATGTATGATCTTTTTAATGTATCGCTGGATCTGGTTGCCTAACATTTTGTTGAGGATATTAGCTTCTATCTAGGACCTGTCATGGGCATTATTAAAAGCCTATCTCTTTTTTTAAATTTATTTTTCTATTGTTGTTGAAGTACAGTTGTCTCCATTTTCACATGACCACATCTCCCTGCCCCACCCACCCCTGCCTCCCACCCTGGAACCTACCCCCTTTGGCTTTGTCCATGTGTCCTCTATACATGTTCGTGGATGGCCCTTCCTCTATTTCCTCCCATTATCCCTCTCCCCCCACCCTGTGGTTACTGTGAATTCGTTCTTTATTTCAGTGCCTCTGGTTATATGTTGCTCGCTTGTTTGTTTTGTTGATTAGGTTGCACTCATAGGTGAGATCATATGGTATCTGTCTTCTACCACCTGGCTTATTCGCTTAGCATAATGCTGTCCAGCTCCATCCATGCTGCTGTGAAGGGTAGGAGCTCCTTCCTTCTTTCTGCTGCATAGAATATTTCTTAGTAGAATATTCTTAAAATCAGTACAGGTTTGTTATAACTAGTAGGCTCCATTTCTTTAAAGAGAGAGAAACTTGAGACCAAACCTTTCATTGGACATGGCTTTAATGTACCTTTAAGGGGTTTAAAGGGGGAGCATCCACTGCACGGGTCATTGGGCGTGAACCTATACTGACTGGCTTCTCACCTCCCCTTTTCTCTGCTCATGATTTGAGACCACTGGTGCTGGTCAGTGTATTCATTGGGAGTAGTTCTTCCTTTTCTCTGTTGGTGGCACAGTGAAGCGTCAGTTCACCCTATCTTGCTGTTCAAGCTAGGAGAAGTACATATCTAGTGAAACCCCTGCTTATCATGAGAAACTATCAATACATGTGGATGCCCACCCATGTCTTAAATTTGAAGAACAAGTATTATAGTCCATCAGATCCACTTTTTCTGGCAGCAAGAAAACATTTCGACATGCCATGGAAACCTCTCTCTTTCTAGTTTCATTATAAATGGGTTAGATTTTGCAGGTGAAAATCATCTTATTTAAGAATTATGTTCGTTTTTGCTTGCTTGTTGTTGCCCTGTGATGGTCAAATGTGGGATGCAAAGGCTGCTCACCTTAATGTAGACCATTTGGGACAGAGTTCCCTGTACAACTCAACCGCACAAATAGCCCTCATGAGAAACAACAAAAACAAACAAACAAGCAAACAAACCCAAAGAGTGAGTTTAATGCTTGGGTTTATTTTGGAGCTAAAAGAAGAAGAGGTACAGGTACAAAGATTATTGCTTGTCTAGGTCTTCATTGGAACCCCGCGGTGCTTTGGGATCTCAGTCCACAAAGCTCATTTACAGCAAAGCTCGTACCCACGGCCAAAGGGTCTACAAGCCCAGGAGACATGCCGCAGCACTTTGTTGACCTTGGTGTGTGGGCACTGGTCTTGTTGTCGGCAGTGGCATTTCCTCAGTAGGATAGTTGTTCCAATACTTGCTATAATCTTTGTGAAGATGTTTGGATTGATCATTTCTGTTTTCTGACGTGTACCAAGTCCTGCAGAGGGAAGAGAGGGGGCAGGCTGAGGGGGCACGCAGACTGGGAGGAGAGGCTCAGCCAGCCTCATGGAGACCTGCTGAGAGGCAACAAGTCTACGTAACACAGATAGTCCCTGCCCGGGTGGGGTGAAAGGATTCAGTGTTTGTCGTGAATCCCAAGAACTCTTACTGGGTCTGAGTGCTCATGCAGGATGATGATGTCCCCTGATCCTAGTGATCAAACTCGTGCTTATATCCTGTGCCTTGTCCCAAACATCTTCCCTGTTTGGTGGTACGTTCTTCTCACCCTCCTCACCCACATACTCCATTTTTGAGCGGAGACCCCATGCAGCCTCCAAAAAACCCCTCTAATGTGTGGAGACTCCAATAGAATGTGGGTGGTTGTCTCACCTGTAAGTTGTCGAGAGAAGCGTTCCTCTCCTGTGAAGGAGACGGCCACATCCTGGTCCTCATCTCCAAGCAGGTCCTGGTCCTCCTCCCCAGGCTGGTCCTGGGCAGGAACCTGGTCAGCTGTCTCTTGCAGGGTCTGAGCCCGGACCTGGAAAACCAAGAGGAGAAGGGCAGCAAGGAGAGTGAGGCTCCTCATGGCTGGTGGTGAATAGAGGTCCAGGTTGGGTGGGAGGAAAGAACGGAGTGGTGGGGAGGGCCCAGGCAGCCTGTACTTATAGGTGGGATGGGAGGAGTCTTGGAGACTCCCAGGCAGGGAGAGGGAGAGGCTGTGCCTTTGGGTGGCCTGGGGCCAAGGCAGCCATGGCCCTCAAAGCCCCTTTGATGCTCCTGCTCCTGCCCCTTCATCAGAGCACACGTGTGCATGAGCTGAGTATCCACACTTGATTCAAGTTGATAGTGGTGATAAGGACCCTCGTGTGGTGTCTGTTTCCCAGCTGCCTGGGTGTTTACCTTGTGATGGTCACAGAAGACAAGGAACCGTGCTCTTGGTGAGTGAGTCAGGGGACAAAGGCCCCGTCTTCCTGCTGCTGGGCCCTGCTCCCTGGAGACGTGACCCTGGGCACACACCTTCCCAAAGGGGTGGGGGGTCTCCCTGTATGTTCAGGGACATCAGTGCCTTGTGCAGGAGACCTTCAGGTCCTGGGTGGTGGTTCCTATGGGGGAGGGGACAGTGACTTGGGCTCAGGTGAGGTAGGACAGAGAGAAGGATCTAGTCAGAGTAAAGCCAAGGACAGGTTTATTTCAGGATGTCAGTGGGATGTGGGCACATTGCGTACCCCACTCAGCTGTCACTTGTTGTGTCTTTGTCGGGAAATAGCAAACACAACCATGTGCCTGCAGCCCCTTCTGAACTTGGTCACTGTTTAAAATAAAAACAGTTTAGTCATGCACAAAGGAAAAACTCAAAATGTAGCAGACAGAAGAGTGGAAACCCCAGTCTCCCATTGTCCCAGACCCCCATTTTTTCTGCAGAAACCACCAGGTCCGGCCCCCCCCCCCCATGTGCTGTGTTTCCTCACTCAGCCTGGGCTTCATCTCGAACACGATCACACTGGCATGTACAGAATGGCCTCACTGTTTCATAGCATCATGCTGTCTCAGTACGATGACTGTCGTACTGATGACTGTCTTTATAGGTCGTCCTTCAACAAGGATTTTCATTGATAATACAAGGTTAAATTCTTCCAGTTTGGTCATTTTGAAACATTTGCAGTTACAAGCATAGCACAATAAGTATAATTTGGATATATCATCTTGCTCATAAATGACTATATATTTTATTTATTCATGTTTTGTTATTCTATTTCTTTTTCATGGCTATTTAGCCCTCTTCTACCCGCCTGCTCTGTGCAGTCACCTCACTGTTGTCCATGTCCTTGAGTCCTTTTCCCTCTTCCCTTGATCCTTCTCCTCACTAGACTGCCCTGCCCGTAGCTGTCAGCCTGCTCTCCATCTGTGAGTCTGTCTCTATTTTGCTGGTCAGTTCAGTTTGTTCATTAGATTGCACATGTGAGTGAAACCACGTGGTACCTGTCTTTCTCTGACCAGCTTATTTCACTCAGGATAGTGTCTTCTCGGTGTGTCCATGCTGTCGCAAATGGCGAGGTTCCCTTTTTTTTATGGCCAAGCAGTGTTTCACTGTGTACAATATTGTACCACAGCCTTTTTCTCCACTCCTCTACTGAGGGGCACTTGTGCGGTTTCCAAATATTGGTGATTGTAAATACCGCTGCAGTGAACATATGGGTGTTACATGTTTTCAGATTAGTGTTTTGGGTTTCTTTGGTTATATTCCCAGAAGGGAATCACTGGGTCAGAAGGCAGCTTCATTTCTAATTTTTGAGAACACTCCATACTGTTGTCTTCTCACTTTGTTTTAACTTTTCATTTTATTTTAGAGAGCGGGGAAGGGGGGAGAAGGAGAGGGAGAGAGAGATGGGTGTGAAGGAGGCACGTCAACTGAGTGCCTTCTGCCTTCCGACGGGGCTCTGGCGTGTGCAGAGCATAGACTCTGCAACCCAGGTGCGTGGCCTGACCGGGAATCAAACTGTTGACATTTTAGTTTGCGGGATGGCACCCAGGTAACTGAGCCACGCCAGCCAGGGCATCTGTACTGTTTTCCGTAGCGGCTGCACCAATCTGCGTCCCCACCAACAGTGCCCGAGAGTTCCCTTTTCTTCACATCCTCGCCAGCCCTTGTTTGTGGATTTATTGATGATAGCTATTCTGACAGGTGTGGGATGATATCTCCGTGGGGCTTTAATTTGCCTTTCTCTGACGATTCCAGGGACGCTGAGCATCTTTTCCTGTGTGTGTTGGCCATCTGTATGTCCTCTCTGGAGAAGTGTCTATTCAGGTCCTTTGTCCATTTTTAAATAGGATTGTGTGTGTGTGTGTGTGTGTGTGTGTGTGTGTGTGTGTGTGTGTTGAGCTTTGTAAGTTCTTTATAAATTTGGGACCTTAACCCCTTATCAGATGTAGGATTGGCACATAAGGTCTCCCACGCAGTGTGTCCTCTTTCCGTTCTGTTGACTGACTACTTGCCGTGCAAAAACCTTTTAGTTTGATGTAGTCCCATTTGTTTATTTTTTTCTTTTGATTCCCTTGCTTGAAGAGTTACATAAAAAATATTACTATGAGAAATGTTTGAGATTTTACTGCTTATGTTTTCTTGTGGGATTTTTATTGTTTGGAGTCTACGATTTAAGTCTTTAATCTCACACATGGTGTAAGAAGGTTGAGTCATGTCATTTTTTGCACGTGTCTGTTGAACTTTCCCAGCACCATTATTGAATAAACTATATTTACCATGTTTTATGTTTTCTGCCTTTTTGGTCAATTATTATTTGACCATTAGGACATGGGCTTATTTCTGAGGTCTCTATTCTGTTCTGTTGATGTCTATGTCTTTTGCCAGTACCAGGCAGTTTTGATTACTACGGCCTTGTAGTATAGTCTGATACCAGGTGGTGTTATTCCTCCCATTTTATTCTTCTTTCTCAGGATGGCTCTTGCTATTTGGGTTGTTTTTGTGGTTCCATAATTTTTTGAAATATTTGTTCTAGTTCAGTGAAATAAGCCATTGGTATATTGATGGGAATTGTGTTGAATGTATGTATTGCTTTGGGTTGTGTGGATATTTTAATAATGTTAGTCCTTCCTATCCAGAACACGGTATATACTCCCATTAATTTTTTGTTCTTCCATTTCTTTCTTCAGTGTCTTATAATTTTCTGCAGACAGGTCTTTTACATTCTGTGCTATATTTCTTTGTAGATCTTTTATTCTTTCTGAAGCAATTGTGAATGGGATTGTTTTCTTAGTTTCTCTTCTGATAGTTCATTATTGGTATATAGAAATGCAACTGATTTCTGAATATTTATTTTGTATCTTGCTACTTAGTTCATTTATCAGTTCCTATATTTTTATGTGAAATCTTTAGGGTTCTATATATACAGTATCATGTCATCTGCAAATAATGAGAGCTTTACTTCTTCCTTTCCAATTTGTATGCCTTTCATTTCCTTTTCTGCCTTATCACTGTGGCTAAGACTTCCAGTACTATATTGAGTAAGAGGGGTGAAAGCAGACACCCCTGTCTTGTTCCTAGCTTAAGGGAAACACTTTCAGTTTTTGCCCATTGAGTATGATGTTGGGGGTGGGTTTGTCATGTGGCCTTTATTATATTGAGGTTTGTTCTCTCTATTTCCACTTGGCTGCAAATTTTTCCAATAAATGGGTGCTGGCTTTATCAAATGCTTTTTCTGAGTCTATTGATATGATCATGTGGTTTTAATCCTTCATTTTCTTTATGTGGTGTATCACACTTATTGACTTGCAGGTATTGTACCAATCTTGCATCCTTGAAATAAATCCCGCTTGATAACAATATATGATCTTTTTAATGTATCGCTGGACCTGGTTTCCTAACATTTTGTTGAGGATATTAGCATCTATGCTCATGAGGGATATTGACTGATAATTGTGCCGTGTCTCTACCTGGTTTCAGAATTGGGATAATGTTGGCTTCGTAAAATGAGCTTGGGAGAGTTCCCTCCTCTTGAATTTTTTGGGATAGGTTAAGAAAGATTGGTGTTAGTTCTTCTCTGAAAATTCTGTAAAATCTCCCTTGGGGCCATCTGGTCTAGAACTTTCTGGTGGGAGTTTGGATTACTGTTTTAGTTTCACTAGCTGTAATCTTTCTATTCAGATTCTCTGATTCCTCCTGCTTTAGTTTTGAAAGGTTGTATGTTCCTAGGACTTTATCCATTTTTTCCAGACTGTCCAATTTATTGGCATATACTTGTTCATAATATTTTCTTACAATCCTTTATATTTTTTGGTATTTTTGTTACTTTTCCTGCTCAATTTCTGATTTTACTTCTTTGGGTCCTCTCTCTTTGTTGTTGATGAGTCTGGCTGAAGGTTTATCAATCATTTTTTTTATGTTTTCAAAGAACCAGCTTTTTGTTTCATTAATCTTTTTTATTTTTTTAGACTCTCATTTATTTCTGCTCTGATATTTATTATTTTCCTCCCTGTATTGACTTTCAGCTTTGTTGTTTTTTCCATGGTTCCTTTAAGTGTGAAGTTAGATTGTTTGAGTGATTTCTTGTTTCTTGAGACAGGCCTGTAATTCTATGCATTTCCCTCTTAGGACTGCTTTTGCAGTGTCCCGCAGATTTTGGATTGTTGTGTCCTTATTTTCATTTGTTTCCAGGTGTCTTTTGATTTCTTTCTTGATCTCACTGTTAACTTATTCATGTTTTAGTAACATGTTATTTAGCCTCCTGCCTTAAATTTTTTTCCTGTGGTTGATTTCTGTTTTGATATCATTATGGCCAGAGAAGATGCTCAATACGATTTCAATCTTCTTCAGTTTATTAAGTCTAGTTTTGTAGCCTAGCATGTGGTTTAATCCCAGAAAATGTTCCACGTGCCCTTGAGAAGAATGTGTATTCTGCTGCTTTGGGGTGAAATGCGGTCAAGTTACCATGTGATCCATTGGCTTATGTAAGGCTGTCTTTCCCTAGTTGATTTTCTATCTGGAAGGTTCATCCATTGATGTGGATGGAATGTTAAAAATCCCCTACGAAGACTGTATTTCTGTCAGTCTCTCCATCTATATACATCGAGATTTGCTTTAAATGTTTAGGTGCTCCTGTG